AAATAATAGATTTATTATGCAAATCTATACACCCAAAAAATATATTTACGCATCTGTAGTTCCTCTGGTGTTGCGGATGTCCATGGGTGTCTTTGACCACTTCTGTATCCTCGCCGCTCGTTTGCCCCCTACTATTATAAAAAAAATAACTTAACTACTCCTACATAGAATATCGCATTAATAAACCTTGCTGGGCACTCCAAAAAAATTAAAACTAACAAATTCACATTTTTAATTAATGTTTAAAAAAAAATACGCGAGCGTCATGGAGCCCTCGGCGACGAGGTTGTGAACCTCTGCTATAGATAGTAAACGAGATGCATAATCTCATGCAATCGACTGTAATCTGACTAGAGTGGGATGACGTCTTACAACGATAAACTTATAGAAAAGATTAGAAAACTAACCGGAACCTAGTGACGAAACTTCGATTAATGTTTCAAGTTATTAAATTCCTAGCTTTCGCCCGCGACTCCGTCCCTTTGGAATTAAAAAAAAAACAAAATTAAGTAGCACATGTGTTCTTCCAGACAGTCCTCTACATCTTTATCAAATTTCATCAAAATCTGTTCAGACGTTTAGGCTACAAACTCTAACAAACATCCATCCATCCATCTATCTAAACTTTTGCATTTAAAATATTAGTATAAAGTATTGGAGTAAGGACCAAATTGCGCTTTTTGGGAAGCTTGGAACAGGACTTTTATAAATATTTGTTTCATTTCATTTTAGTGTCTATCAATTCAGGCCTTTTACTACAATCTGCTGGAAAAGAATCACGATTGGACAAACTTTACTCTATAGTGTTACATTTTGAAAATGTAACCAAATTTGTAAAAATCTAGCTTGTATCTGCATTACTTCTACTGAAATAAAAAATCAAGTCTATGAAGCGATTGAAGAAACGGGACTTTTAATGGAAAGAAGCTTTGTAAGCGGGAGTAACATGACTCAGTTTTTTTTATTCTCGTTGACAAATCATGTCGCAAAGGTCAGCTAAAATTAGTGTGTAAAATGAGTAACCAATCTACTTCATCGCATTATTATTTCCGTTTCACATTAGTTTCACAGAGGAATACAGCAGAGAGTAGGACTATGTAGTATCTTGAGAAATCGGATACTTACTGTTCAGAAGAGCGATCAAATAATAGCAGTACTGGGCTATGCTACTGCCCTATTCACTGTTTTAATGTCTTCGTGTGATCCAATGCAGTATGTACATATATAAGTGTTAATTGTGATTTCAATTCTGCGGATGTCGTCACCGAGACAATGCTTCACTAAATTAGAAACATAAGTGTGTATTATGTTACATGTACGGATAAACAGCTATAAAAAAATCGTTTTATTTTATAGTTGTCATCAAGTTGTAGCATATTTCTATTTGTGACGTAAAATATGGGAATTCATGGTTGAGTGTTTGCTATATATCTCCATAATAGATGTGGAACATAGTCTGGACGAACACAATCTACTAATCAAGTTTTTAGTTCAAAAGCAGGCAAAACATTTAGCTAATACTAATTAGAAAGCGTTATTCAAATGTTTTTGTAATTCCAGATATGGTTGACTATACATTCTGCAAACATTAAGTTAACTTGAGTTCTTATAAGAAAAAAACACAGCCTTCAAATGTCCCGATTTTTACAAAAATAATGTTCGTAAGATACAGGTTTCTTACTGTAGCTATAGCCACCTAATCGTAAGAAAGTACTATTTTACGAACATTAACAATATGAATAAACAAATCCACACCCAGAGATAATCGTAAGTATCGATAATTCAAAAGTTTCGAATGCTGATAAGGTTGTCACAGTATGACAAGTGACACAAAAAGCCTAATCTTATCAATTGAAATTGGCACGAGGAGCGGTTGAGAGTAGAAATCAAATTACAGACTACCGTAACTTCTGTTAAAGAAAATAGAATCTAGTTTTTGTTCGCGACTTCGTTTGTGTGGAATTAAGAAACCAAAAACTTAATAATGTTAAGAAGAAATAAGTACTGTACCGGAGTAGCGGAGCAACATTACATCATTGACATATACATCTCGTCCCTGTGACAGCTGTCAATGTCATTCAGTCGTATTAGAATAGCGCGCCATTCATAGTGGTCTAAGTGTTTAAATTAATTACGTTGTTACAATTGTATTAATGTTTAAAAGTAAGTGACCAATGGATTCTTTGAGACTGTGATCTACATCTGAGCTAAATATCGAGATTTTTTGAGGTCATGGTGATCTATAACACAAGGCGCTACCCTAGTTTGGACACCAATCCCTTCAAAGGGAAAATCAATAAAGCTATTTTTACTTTTTATTTCAGCTGTTTGGATATACATACAAACGTCCATCCATCCATACAAACTTTTGCATTTGTAGTATTAATAAGAAATGTGATAGCGCGCTTTTGTAATAAAATGTAGGTAGAATGCTGCAGTAATTTATTTCCTGGAATTTACTTAGTGAAGCGTATTTTTTTTTGTCAATGTTCTGTTTTTTGTAAATGTTCGTATTACTTTGTAATTTTCGGCCTTCTAGGGAGTGTGGCAGCTGCCCCTCCCTTTGTACTTCAGTTTTGGATTTCACTTGACCAACTATCTAGAAGATTATGCAATTTCTTCAGAGATATTGATTGATCACTGTGATACAAGCACATACCTTATCTTATTTTATCTGTTACAAAATAATGTTGTTTTCTCAAACTGCTGGTCAGAACCGATGTTACTGATAATATTTTCTGGTTTTACTAACTTCGATTATTTTAAAGTGGACAAACGTATTTTAATATCAGTGATAACGTGAAATATTCTGAAGACTTGTTAACGCGCACGACGTTATAACTCATCTTTTCAACTCAGAAATGACCACTGCGTAATTTTTCTGCCCATGTTTTGTCCACCATAACAATCCTATAACCAATAAGTTTGGCTTTATTGATATTTTATTAATAATATCAATCGAATAAATGACTTTAGATTTCTCTAAAGTCATTTTTTCGATGGCTTAAATTATCCTCTTTCGAGAGGAGGTATAGACTTTAATAGTAATGCATTTAGCGACTAGTGTAACTACACTTATCTCAAATCACAACTCAGTACACCTGTCTGTAAAATCTCTTTGCTTATCTGGGATATAATATTTTATCGATCTGCAAGAAATTAAAACAAACAAAATACTTGAATGTCAAAATACTTGACAACAGTTATCTCAAAGCTACTTAAAGATTTGGACAATGTTTTCCAATCTTGTGTAAGATGCTGTCCGAGTGGAATTAAAAAAAAAGCAAGTAGCCTACGTAATTTACTCATAAACGAAGTTTAGATTAAGCGCCACTGCGCTCGGCCACCTTAAGCCCGGTGAATCTGTAAATCTGTCAAGGCAAACAGTGGCCATTCAGTAAAAAAAAAACCTATGTAACCTTCCTGATTATGCTCTACATCTATGCCGAATTTCATCGAGATGCGTTCAGCAGTTTAGGCTTCAAATTAAAAAAAACATCCGTCTAAACTTTCGCATTTAAAATATTAGGAAAACATTTAGTGCCAAAGAAAGGAAAATAAAAGAAAAATAAACTAAAACATACAATGAATTCAGCAAATGTCTGTAGTCAGTTATTTCTGCTTCCAGATTGTTACTGGAAGCGGTGTTATTTTACATTATCATATGAAAGGAATCAACGCACGCGTCAAAATCGCTTTAGTTGGGTAGACTTCGACTCAATGGAATACATAATTAGTGCGTTTGCAATAATCATAGTATTCCACAGGTTTACAGTTTTGTGGTATACTTTACGACCAAACTATATATTACCAATCTATTCTCTAATTATTTTCAAAACGAATTTATATAGCGAGCGGATTTGTTAATATAACCTAATTATTTTTGTAACCTAATTTTGTAAGGCAGGTTTTCTATAGAAAATTCTTTATTAGCAAACTGTAATGTCCCTACCTCGCCTATACTAAATTAAGTTCTTTTGTTATAATTATAATTTTTTGTGCTGTTTGGCTTTTCGTTGTTCTATTGTTTATTCGGGCAATAAGATTATTAATTACGATCTAACCTACTTTGTTTAGTGTGTTTAGTTCATAAGATTGAATAATCAAATGAATAGAAAAAATATTCTTTCAAATAAGAGTGTTTCACGGTAATTTCAA